TTTAATGGTCCGGGCTTGGGCTCATCAGTCCGGTTTGTTCAAGCAATCTGAGTGGTATGATTCAGAGTATAAACAGCTTAATTTGCTATAAACAATCTCAACAAAGCTATTTATTATTATAGAGAAAAATCAAGCAAAGTTATTGAAATTGGATTCATTTGATAAGTGCCGGTTTCTGAGTCGTGATAAAACTACGTAAATAAATCGAACTCCCAAAATCAGGTTAAGTAATTGACATCCGAACTGATATACTTGTTTTTTAATAAACTTTAATTCAACTTATATCATTATTCTTTTATCGAAATTTCTTTTTTTTTTAACCGACAACGAACGCTATTAAATTAATTATCATTATAAAATTAAAAATTCCTCCTATGACGTATGTGTTTTTCGAATAACGAGGTACCAGTATCAAAAATTTTATGCTGAAATCCAATAGATAGGTTTTGTTACTTGGCTGTTGAACCTTTGTAGTAAGATTCGCAACATTAATTTGATTCTGGGTGCAAAAGTCATTATGTAGTTCGCCAACGCATTTTGTGAAGTTATCTGATACTCCGAACCGCGTAGCAGCTATAAATTGAATGTCGGCCAGAAACGTGCAAGAGGTTCCAGCGTCTTACTATTTCTTGCCTCCCTGCACTTGCTACATGTATCCCTGCTAGTAATGTCCATTTTCCGCACGTATGATACCAATAGCTTATTTGGTCTACAAGTGTCCAGAAATCGAGAATGGACTTTCCTTCATATTGCATATAATATGGGGGGTCTTGCTCGTCATTAGGACATCCCATCTGATTTTCATTCGTTTACCAGCCCTCTCAGCATTCCTCCTTGGTCGAGGTATGTAATCTATCTTGTCCACAATATTTTACTTATTAAGCTGTGCCTAAAAATTCAAATTCCACTGCCACGATTTTTTTCTTAGTAAGCCAAACGGATCTAAGTTTACTCACATTCAAATTGAATATATATACATATATATATATGCATGTTATACACTCTGCAGCAATGGAATAATAACATTTCGGAGCGAACATATCTACGCACGATCTATGCTTATATCCTATCGGTGATCCCTTTTCTGTAAGGAATGGTCTCTGGTCCATTTCCGAGAGAGGAAAGTATTACATTTAGGCATATCATCAAAAAATTTAAGTAAATCGAACCATCAATAAGTATATTTTTTCGAATAGATCGATCCACATCCTGTATAAAATAAGTAAAGATAAATATAAATATGGTCCACTTCCCGGGGAAAAGAGTAGTGCTTTAGTTAATCTAAGCAAAAAACCACCTACAGACGTGTATGTACCGAATTTAAAGTAAATTTCACAGCAAATACGATTTTTCAAATAGTTCAGTACTTGGTCCCTTTCTAGAAACCGAACAAAGTCTCACAAAATTTCAAGTCAATCGGTCATTGACTCTGACAGACATGCGGATCTTTATTATCGAACTTAAGATTTTTTTTTATTAAATTGAAGGTTTCATTCTCCAAAGTTACAATTATCCGATTTATGTAAGATATGCACCACCATAAGTTTTAGCCATTTTGAATTTATTATGTCTCTCTCATAGAAACCCTACTTCCTTTTAGCAAGAAATTGGGATAATCGATTTTCACAGCATTCTCTTGAGGCGAGTTTTTCACCAGCCAAAGAAAGGAACAACAGATAATCATAGTAAAAAGAACTATTCTTTGCGAATACCACCAAACACACAAATAAGCTTTCCTGGCCGTCAATACTGACTAGAAATCGTTTGTGCTGACTCACTGCCCTTCGATCATGACCGTTTTTCTTTTATACTGCTGTAAGTGATCCACTTTCCATCGCCAATAGGCATCCATTTCAGAAATGAGGTCGATTTTTTTACGATTCAGATGAGAATTCAGTCCATGAGGGATTTTCTCGTTCAATCATGTGGAAGTCATACATCGCGCTACTTTGTGTGTCCAGCCATTTTCTTATGGTTTTTGTACAATGTTTAACTTCTGGGCAATCGAAAAAGATGGTAAGACTCGATTATTTCCATTATTTTATCGACATTTTTGATAATTAGATTTTGAAATTGAAATTAATATTTTTTCCATAGAAGAGTTCACCAAGTTCGGAAAAATATTTTGCACTTTATCTTCTTTCTTTATGGAACTAGGGGATTAAAATATCCTTGGTAATACCTGGAAGTCTTTGATTTTTTTTAATTCTTTCTGCTATATTTTTTTGAGTTCTAATTTTGAGACACTAAATAATTAGTTTCTAACAAAAAATAATAAAAAGTAATACCAATAAAGAGTCATGAGAAGCAGCTCACAGAGAATTGTTTGAAAATCATCATTAAATTTCAATGAGTCAAATTCCGTTGAATTAAGTTTCTATCTAATTGAATATATGTATTTATAAATGTTCATTTTTTGGCTGAAAAATATTTTGTTATTAATTTAAATTAAAAAAAAAAATTTTATTTCTCCAAATAGTCGGACGGGTTGAAATCCTAGTGTGCTACTAACACCCAAAAAAGTTGTAGAAAGTTAATTTAAATAAAAGATTAAGATAAATTTTCTAATGGGGTTCACCCCTCGGCAGGCTATGTCAACACCTCCGAGTGTAGTTCTAATATGAGATAAAAAGCTCCTCGTAAAAAACCAGCAGCCGTTCGGAGGCGGCTTAGTATTAACTGTAGGTCCCTCCATTTGTTGAAAAAACATCAAGCGGTAAAACCACAATTTGGAGGAGGAGCTTGGCCAAAAATCGCTTTAGCGGTTGCAAAGCGGCAATTATATATATATAAATATTAGTTTATGTTTGCACACTTTCAAATTCAGTTAAAAAAAGAAAATTGTCTATCGACCGATACTAAAAAATTCCAGTTTTTTTTAACTACTTTTACAAAACTTCCCTAAACTAGCCTAAACTGAAAACTCAATTCAAAACTAATCAATTATTATTTTTTATTTCAATTTAATCGAGAATTTGCTCTGTAGTTTTTTATTTAATTTATTTTTCTTAGCATAAACATTAATCCTACTCTTGTTAATTATATAAAAATTACAACTTTACGAAATACATCAAAAATAGAAATAAAATTTAAGAGAAACCGATAACATTACATACATACGTATATATGTAGCATACAATTCGTTGGTTGCTCGTTGGGACTGGGACAGTAGAGGAGTCAGATTGCTATCAAACGCCTCTAACAAACATTTCAAGGTTATTGTGACTATGTACATACTAGTTTGCTATATTACATACATATCGGTGAGAGTATGCAAATATATGTACGATAATAATTCAAATAAAAATTTATTTTCTAAGACACACACATACTCACATTCGAATATGCAAATACAACAGATATATTAATCAAAAGCTGCCAAGCAGCTCATATGACTTTTATACAATTACATAATAAATTTCACGTAGGTACATATGTATATATATATATATGTGTGTATGTATGTGTATGCAAGTTCATATACTTATGTTTCTACATATTTCGATTACATACATACCCTGCAGTGAAAAACTAAACTGGTATGCCAAATATGTAGTTAAATACTAGTAGTTTAAAGATGATATCATAATAGATGGCTATTTGTTTGTAAAGCATCAGTAACGGAGGGAATACTAATTTCCATCAGCGATTTTCAGCACACCACTGGAGTGCTGCATTTTATGGAATTCTCTTTTCATGTGAGTATTTTGCTGTTTTAACCGAGTGATTTGGAATTGACGCTCTGTTAAGTAAGAGCTTTATAATTTACATAACGCTTTATGAATATTTTTTAAATATTTTTGTAAAATTTTTGTTTGTGCTGTAGAAATTCAGTATGTAAAAATGAACTGGTATTTAGCTAGTATAAAGTTGTTACAAATTTGAAAAATTGACATTTCGTAGCTATTTAATGCCATAAATATTATTTGCTAACATGGGAAATTGATGAAAGGTGAACTAAAAGTATATATTAAGGTAAAAGTTCGTTGGGGTCTTATCTAAGAGATGGCGTTATTGTCCATGGAACTAGTGTTACGTGTGGCATCATGTCATCATATCACTATACGGCACTGAAAACGTGAAAAGTTTGTCTCTGACAATTTTTCGATTGATTGACTCCGTACGTTGTGAGCGCTCGTCAAAGATGGACACTAGCAAAGAGAAAATTCGCTAAATTTTACAATTTTCCTTCGATCAAGGCGAAAAAGCAGCCAAAGCGACTGAAAAAATTAATTTGGCTTATGGGACCGATGCTTTGAACGAATGTGTAGCACAAAAGTGGTTTGCTAGGTTTCGTTCCGGTAATTTCGATATCAAAAATGCACCACGCGTCGGGAGGCCTGTCTCGAAAAATTGCGATAAAATTTCATGGAAATAGTGGAAACAAACTGCATAACCTTGGTTTCAAAAAGACGCCCGATGTTTGGGTGACTAACCCAAAAAAACATGATGAACCGAATTTCCACCTGCGGATCGCTGCTGAATCGCAACAAAATCGACACGTTTCTGAAGCGGATTGTGACTGGCGATGAAAAATGGGTTACTTACGACAACATGGAGCGCAAATGGTAGTGATCAAAGCTCGGGGAAGCGGCCCAGACGATAGCCAATACCAGTTTGACGGCCAGAAAGGTTTTGCTGTGTGTTTGGTGGTATTGGCAAGGAATCATCTACTACGAGCTACTCCTCTATGGCCAAACACTCGATGTGGCCCTCTACACCCAACAACTGGACCGATTAAAGGCGGCAATAATCCAAAAGAGGCCGTTTTTGATCAACAGAGGGCAAATTGTGTTCCATCAGGACAACGCCAGGTCACACACGCCAGAAGCTCCAGAAGCTCGGATGGGAGGTCGTAAAAATTGGCTTTCCGAGTGTTTTGCCAATAGGGAAGCAGTCTTCTACGAGAGGGGTATAATGAAGTTGGCATCTCGTTGGCAAAACGGCGCATTGACTTAAATCGGACAAATGTACACAAAGTTGTCACATTTTGAAAAATGAATAAAAACCGGGTTGCATTTAGTTTTAAGAAGAAATAAAGCGTAACTTAATTTTATGACCGAGAATTCTGCTTTATTATAAAGATAAGACCTCGCCATTATGTTTAAAAATGATTTCGAATAAGTGATTACCCCACCTGGCATCTGATATACCACATTTCCAACCACGTTTAGCAGCAATACCAGCATTAACGCGACGACTCTCTTAGGAACCATTAATCATCTGGGACTTCAACCGAATTCACGCTAAAAAAATACATATTTTCCAGCATTGTTAAATTGCACTATCTTGGATAACCCAACACGAGCCAAAAACATTCCCCATAGACTGCATCATTATGATTGCCTTAAGTTTTGAAGGAATATGTACCCCTTATTCCCACTGCCTATAGAGAACACCAAACAGTGTATCAATAATGGTTGAGATATGGTGGCATGGCTGATGAGCTGTTGACAATCATAGCTGGCATAAAAACCAACTACAATGTAAGCCTGGAAATCCAATACATCCAATCCAATCTCTATGGATTGTGAATATCCTTTCAAGCAGGTGAAAACAATAATCAAAAGCCATTATTCCTAATTTTTGGCTTGGTCAAGGGTCAGATCAATTTCCATAAAAAAAAATAATCTAATTTTTTTATTTAAATAAATTTGCCATAATTTTAGCTGTGGAAGTTGAACTAGTTTGCCTTTAACTAGTAGCATTCTGGTTGTCTAGTTGACGATTAGAAACTATCACTGCAGGATATGTTTGCTTGCTAGTTGTTGTATGTACGTGTATCGCAAATTCTACGAATCAATTTGTAACAATAATAACGACCTCGAGTATATTAAAATTGCAGCAGCTGAAATCCAACACTACCATCATTACCACCATCAGCCTAAGATGCAGTAGCAGCAGTGGCAGCACACGTTCTAACGTTCCAATGCCACAATAACCACCACCTGTAGCTTGCCATGACAATAGATATGTCTGCAGATTGCTGCTGCTGCTGCTGATGCTGCTGCTGCTGCTGTTGTTGTTGTTTTAGTAAGCATGCTGGCTTCACCTCCACTCCTCTGCTCATTGTCATGCCATCTTTGCCGGCTTATAACATTTCCACATTCGAGGTACCATTGCAGTTGGTTGTGCGCGTCGTCTTGGTGATCTGTTGGTTGTTGATTATGGGTGGTGGTGTGCCACACCAAACCACCTGAAAAGTAGAGGGAGAGAGTAAGAGAAAACATAAATTTAAATATGAGATTTGCATCTGAGTGCATTTTATATTTTTTCTTCTTCCTCTTCTTTTTCTTCTTCTTCTCCGTCTTCTTCATTTTCATCTCGTTTGCCATTCCTGACAATCACTCAGTGACTTACCTTCCGGAATGCTTTGCGAAAATTGTCCGACAGGAAAGCATAGAGTATTGGATTAATGCAGGAGTTCGTGTACGCCAATACGTGCGAGATGATTTGAATAATAACCGTTAGATGCGTAGATGCATACATATCCAATGCCTTCAAAACGAGTATAACCTGCAAATATATGAATTTATAAATATGTATATATGTGGGTATGTATGTATGTACATATGTAGGAGTATATAAGTACAGTTAGCAAGGCAATGTAAGTTGAATCTGTTGGAATTGTGGTGAATATAAAAAGGCAAAATGGCTTCACTTGTCACTTGTGTCACTTTCAATGTTGCACAGATTCGATTAGCCTTTGAACAGGTGATGCACATCGGTCTCATTGCACGTGTCAAGGAGATGAAGAGTGAGAGAGAGAGAGAGATAAATAGCGCTTGTGCATGGGCACGGCACCTGCCTGTGTGTGGATAAATGCATATGCTTCCACTTTGGTGCCTTGTAATGAGTAAAATGCATTTGAATTCAATTAGTTTTTTTTTGCTTGTCTCTCTCTCTTTTAGGTATGGCTTGTAAAGATGTCACATGTGACATGGAGCACAAATAAGGGCTGAGATGACATCTAATGAATAATGAATAAGGGTTTTATTGGGAGGACCAAGAGAAATAAACATATTTTTAGCTGGAAAATGAAAAGGGCATGTAAAAATGCGTAAATGAGATTCTGGGCATCAACTCGGATTTTGAAATTTTTACAGAAGTAGTTTAAAATGCCTTTCATGGGTTTCTTAGCCTATCTGCATGCCGTCCTATCAGACAATATCCAGCGGGTTTCTTAACTACCTTTGAAATGTCATTCTTTTTCAGAGCTATAGTCAAGTGGTTAGCATTGGGTCCTACCACCTGGAAGGCTAGGATTAGAATCTTGGTCCGAATAAAATTCAAAAACTAAAGAAAATGAATCTAAATAAAAAATTGTTTAAGTTAATTTTTGCGATCACTCCAGGGCAGAGAATGTCCAGCCTTGCGAGTGTATTATTGACACAAAATAAAGGCTCTTCATAAAAAAAAGCCAATATCCCTTCAGACTCGGATTAGTAGAAACTGTCTATTTATTGGAAAAAAATTAAGACCTACCCCGAAAATTGGAGTATATATCAGTTATACGAACCCCTTCGTTCTCAGACCGCCCAAGAAATTTTTCAGTCTGAAACACATTACAGTCGTTCGGCAGATTGAAAAGGGAGACAAAGTTCGTCACTCAATGCCTTACGTCAATTCTTTTCCATCAAAAACTCAAATAATACTTGGAAAATCGTAGTAGAAATCATGGAAATAATTCGTTTTACTGCAAACATCTCCCACCGGAAGTGGGGTTCGCGCAGTTCAAACTCCATCCTGCAGCGTGTGCAGTATATGTTTGTATGTGCCATGAGAAAACGCATCCAAATGGCCTGAGACTGATCGGCCTCGCTTTTGTGCAACATCAGATTTTGGCAAAAGAACATTCATCAAGCTACAGGCTGTAACCACATCGAAATTCGCATCACCAAATTGCCCATGTTGGGTTAGATGAAAAACCCGTCTGTTGTGTTCTAAATGTGCGTCTGTACCGAGGACCTAATATTCGTATTTATGTACAATAATAAGCTCTCGCCAGTCTTTGCAGCAATGAATGCCTGTCAACAAACGCTAAGAAAGTTCGACGTCTATAAGCTGCTAGTACAGAGAAAAGGCAGTAGTTTTTTTTAATTGCTCACAAGCTTTCCGAGACCACTCATCAGCAACTCGATGCAAGGTATATGGACGACGGCTTATCAAGGCACCTTCAGACCGCTGCAGCAGAAACCAGTGGTCTTCTACAGTGTCGGAAGAGCTGGTGGGTTGAAAAATGTTAAACTGCAGTGAAGTGAAAAAAGATTGAGATTCGCCACGACAAGTGAGATGTATACCGAAAGCTGAGAAAGGAACTAATAGGTATTGTAGATGCCAAACGAAAGAAGCCCAAATGCGTGAGTAGGAAAAAACTATAGAAGATGGTCAACAGAGATAATGCTCAAAATACCGAAGATTTCAAATCTGTAGCATATCTAGAACGAAGAATATAATCTTCGACAGCACGAATAGGAGTTGCTGTACGCTGCTATGTCTGAATTTGATGTACCCGCAAAACTTATACAGCTATGGGAACCGATGTTAAGCACCACCATAACTTTAACCTCCTCCACCTTGGAACCAGATTTAACATCAACAACAATGTCAACCTGGAAATCCAACGCAAAATCACTCTTGCCAACAGGTTCTACTTCGGACTGAGTAGAAAATTGAAAAGTAAAGCCCTCTCTCGACGATGGAAAACCAAACTCAACAAGTCAACGATAAGAGGCTGCTTTAAAGGGCGGAAGCATGGACCATGACAACATCTGATGATGTAACGGCGAATACTGCAGCCGATGGAACGATGAGCTGTACGAGTTATACGGCGACATTGATATAGTTCAGCGAATCTAGAAGCAGCGACTACGCTGGCTAGGTCATGTTGTCCGGATGTATAAGACCACTCCAGCTTAGAAGCTTTCGATGCAGTACCTACCGGTGGAAGCAAAGTAAGAGGAAGGCCTTTACTCTGTTTGGAAAGACCATGTAGAGAAGGATCTGGCTCTAAAATTGACGCCAAACAGTAAAACAAAAAAAGAAAATGAATGGCGCAATGTTAACACAGATTTAGACTAAGTAGGAAAAGTTGAAAAGTTATGTTCTCTGTTGAAGAATAAAGCTCAAGCTCTACAAGACCCAAAATGGGTTCAGCGAATTAAGAGACAGCGATTCCACCAGCGAGGACATATTGTTTGGTTGGATGCCCTGACCGCCCGCTTTAGAAGAGGAAATCCCTTAAACTGTTCGAAAAATTAGTGGAGCAGGACCTGGCTTCACTTGGAGTATTCAATTGACGTCAAACAGCGAAAGGAAGAAACGGAGCATGTGCTGTTGTTAACTCGGCTATAATCGCAGAAGTCATGCTTATGCCCACAAGGAATATAAATGAAATTCCATGTGCGTATAAAAACTTAAGCAATAGTTCAACTTATACGCCTCAAGGTAGAGCTCTAATGTGAGGGCAAAGCTAAAGAAAAATTTTGAAAACTTTGGGCAGGTTTGAGAAAGTTTTTCCTTGCTGGCCTGTTCAGGGGTCGGATAAATTTCCATTCTTCTACTTAGCATTGGATTAGCTCCTTTTTGAGTGTCTTCATTTTTCTAGACAGGTTGATCATAGAAGAAAAGAGTTATGTTGCATTCGACTTTCTTTCAACTAGCAAAATCTTATTAAGCTTCACACCAACCCACGTTTATAGCTCCCACTCAAACAGGAGACAATGTAAACTCAGTCAACTAATTAGGAATTTCGGCACCGTTGAGGTGTAAAGACGTATTGCATTTTCTAAGTCACTTTACACAGCCGCCTCCGTGGCAATCACAAACTCAATTGAAGCAAATTGCAAATGAAATTACGCAGAGCTCAAATACAAATTTGATGCGATTTATTATGCATTGGCTGGCTGTCAACTCAATTTGTCATGACTGACTGGTGGTAGCGGTGGATGGAACAATAAAGCCTGCAATCGAGTGCACTGACACAAACACACAAGCAGAGGGGGGCGAAGACAAGTACTTGGAAAGTGTGGGCGTGCATTCAGTTGATGTTAACATGTATGTGTGCTGTATGTATGTATGTATGTATGTATGTATGTAGGCATGAAGGTAAACATGTAATTGCAAATAGTAGTAGAAATAGTTTTGTACAAATTCTAGGATGTAACTGCAAGCGTGTTTCTAGCCATTCTTCACACACACACACATAAACACACACACATATAATGATACAATCGCAGCACATTTGTTTGCTAAGTTCACTTATCGAACATATGGTCGTCCATTAACACAAATTAGTAAATGCAAAGGGAAAAAGCAATGCTCGCTCTACATGCACTTTGCCCTCTACCGCTCACACCTCTGACTCGTCGTTCTTGCCGAGTACAACTTTTCTCTTGCGCTTTCTATTTCTAGCAAATTAATTACTTACAATGTCCCAGCGATTGACTGCGTGACAAAATGCAGTACAATATTATTTACAAAGTACTATGTGTGTGTGTATGTGTGAAATGCAATCGATGTGGCAATATGTCAGTCACTAGTATCAAAAGAATTGGAATAAAAAAGTAGCTCTTTATAGTCTTTTGTTGGTCAGTGTTGGTTGGTGGCGAGGGCACAGGCTAGAGAGGTGCCAAAGGATACTGGTGAAAGGATTGTGAACGAGTATTACATATTGCAAAACCAATTTAATTGAAGGTGTGTGTACGTTATAGGTGTGCATATCGCTCTTTTCTCTTTTTTATGGTAATGTAGCGTTAAACGCATATACGAGGGCAGATCTAAAGAATAAAAATTTTAAGCAATATAAATTTTAATTTATTTTTCCTTTTCACTATAATCCGGGCTTATGGAGACATACGAGGCATATCCATAAAGTAAGTATGCTGAAGCTCTCACCAAACATGTTTTGCGTTGAAATTACTAAAATCTATTACGAAAATGGCGATTCAAACATGGTCACGTTTCGTGCTTTAATAGGAACGTCCAACTATTCAAGAAACTGGCAGATTTTCACAGAAATTTGAAGAGACTAAATCGGTTACAAATATTGTAAGGCCTGTGCATCATCGTTTTGCTTGTTCTGCCTCAAATATCGCTACTGTGTGTGAAAGTGTAGCCAAAAATCTTGATATCCTCAAAAGTTGGCGCTTTTTCACAGCACATTAAGGCGTAGTTTGGACTTTGACTTATACCTACGCCCATATAAGATCCAGTTCACGCAATAACCGAAACCACCTGACCATTCATAACGCCCTACATATGTCAATTGGTTGCTTGAACAACAAGCAGTGGAGGGCGATTCTTCGAACAAAATTTTCTTTAGCGGCAAAGCACACTTTTCCCTCGGGGAGGCGTAAATAAGCAAAATTCGTGCGTTTGGTGCTTCGAGAATCCTCAAATAATTGTAGAGAGCTATTGATAAAAAAAAAAAAATTTTATATATGGAGCGTCCTTAGTCATGGGATGTTATTGAACTTTACTTCTTAGAAAATAACAAAGGCGAGACTGTGAATGTG